GGACAAGGAAAGTTTTATTTGCTGCCCAACTCCCACAAGTGAGAAAGATTTCCCAGCCAAGAATCGACACAATCAGTCATCAACTTGCTTAGTCTTGCCAGCTCCAGTTAGTCAGTCTGTTTCTTGGCCTTAGAAAGCTGAGCTATATTTACACTTTAGTTTCATGGGAGGAACCAGTTTAACTCTTGCCTTGATGAAGACCTCAGGCTAGCTGGTCAGGTTCCCTACGCAGTAGAGACAACCAGAATACATGCTCTGAGGGAGCCTGATGACACAAACCCTGTGTTGCCATGACACTGTTTAGCTCATTTTCAGAAAACAAAGTGGTGGGTGGTCCAGGCCATCCTTTGTCCAGGAAGCCACTGGGGCCAGAAGACCTTACATGTGAGCTTCAGAGACCAAGCCCAACCATGGTGCAAAGCTCTGTCACGGGAAGCCATGTGTTAGCACTGACCAGAAGCCGCAGCTAGCAAAATCCACAGAGACATGTTAAACACACACACACACACACACACACACACACACACACACACACACACACACCCCTACTATTTGAGAAAAAAAGACATGATATAAACACACATTCAGACAGAGCTGGAGATCGGCTGGGATGGGGGAGGCAGACTCAGACGCTTTGGTTTTAGTCCCTAGTTCTAGTTGAAATAAAGATCTATACAACCATTTTCTCTTCTCTCTCTCTCTCTCTCTCTCTCTCTCTCTTCTACCTCCCTCTTTTAAGAGTTGAAGGAGAACTGGGGATTCATCCATGATCTGACATCTGGAAAGGTGTTCAGTTTTGCAGCTGTGCATTCCTTTGGGCCACAGGGTGATGGTGCCTGCCTCAGAGAGACTACATGCATTATTACTGTGTAGGTGAGCACATTGTTTTAGAAGGTTAGTGGTTCCTGCTGGACAGTCTCCTCTCGCGATCTTGCCAAGCATTCTCTGCTCTCCCTGTGCTGGCGCTGTCTGTGCTAGGCTATATATTGCTTTGGCAGAACATGTTGAATTTTATCTCATGACTTGGACAGGGAGCCTGGATTTTTGCTCTGGATTGGACATATTGGTATAATTTACAGAACAAAGGAGAGATGAACTCACAAAGATCCCAAGATGGATAAATAAGGGAAAATGGAGGGACTTGCAAAACACAGCCCCAACTTCTATGGTGGTAAGATATGTATGTA